TTGCAGCCCCTTTGGTTGGCCAGTCCCTACTAGTGACATGCCTAAAGATGGTCAACCCCCGCCCCACCTAAGTGCTTCCAGATGTTGAACGTTTGTAACTCTGTATGCATGCCCACCACAGTATTTGGCAACTCATGCCTCATCTTCTTTATATTTAATCAAAACCCACTGAAAATTCTGCTTATTATTCCTGGTTTAGCTCCCGAGGGCTGGGATAAATAAATCTTCGTTTTTGCTTAAGTAGAGTTTCTAACTTTCATCTTAAAGCTTTAGTTTCAAGGATATTTTTAAGAACACTACCAGGATTCCAAGGAAATGAAAATATAAAATAATACTGTTGCTTCAAAATAATACCATTGCTTTCCTATTTAACATTTGCTTGTACAGAATTAAAATATGCTAGCCAGAATAACAAACATGACAAAGACTCTGGTGAACTTTCAGGACATGCTGAGGTATTCCTGGAGTCCATACAAACACAGAACTTACAGAATTTAGATTTTGCATTTGTTCCCTGTCTGTGGAAGTTGTTTATCCATTTCATTCATAGGTAGCGATATTTTCACTGAGCATCCCAATGAGTGACAAATATTTTGAAAAAAAATGTTTATATAAACTTACAAATAAGACTGGTTTTTGGACATATTACTGGATGAGCATGAGTGAATATGTATCTAATCAGTACTTCCTGGAGGAACACATCATCCCAGCATTCAAGTTCTACTATAAAGTATTTGTTTTAATAGCTTTGGGATTGTTCTCTGTTTCCTCTTTGGGACCAGAATAGTAAATCTCAATGTTCTGCATGAGTGGATTATCCAGTGTGGTATTCTTAGCTTATTTCTGTTTTTAAGTTTCTCATTAAGCTGCATTAACAGCCTTAAAATCCAAAGGTTGCCTTCAAGGATTTAACTCATATATAACCCAGTTCTCTGGGTGATGTTAAAAGCATATGTTGCTTACACCATCTGATGTGGAAGGAGTGTCTATGACTGTGACCTCTCAGGTCACTAGAACAAAACCTCCCAGACTGCTTCTAAGAATCAACTGGTCATAATTCTAGAAGGCAGCCAAGGGCATCAGGCATGTACTTATCCTTTGGGTAACCCCGGGTATTTGCTCCCAAAGGGAAATTTTATCTTGATATATTTTGATCATAACATCTGGGGAAGATTTCGGCAGTGATACAAAGTGATAGGCAGTGGTGCCAGGAATGTTGCCTCAGTCAGAGAACTGGGGGTTAGGCCATGAGTGATGATACTGGAAGAAGACATTTCATCAGCTCACTGTGGAGCTCAGTCCTGAGAAGAACTGAGAGTTGCAAAGGCAGCATTTTTTGAGACGTGGGCAGAGAGAGGTTATACTAAACACATATTACAGTGTGTTCAGAGAGCTAATTTAATACATGGTCTTTCTTTCCCTATCGTGAACATAATTTAGTTGGAGAGAACAATTAGCAGTCTTAGTTGGTGGTTATGGTGAGCCATTTTTAACCAAGATCTATTTTTACTTTTAAAGAGCATAACTGAATAAAACACCATGCTGTGCTCAATGATTTAATTAGCTTCTCCTACTGGAAGACAAGCTGCTGCAACCCCAGACCAAATCCAAGTAACTACCCCTTCTCCCCAACAACAGCTTGCCCTAGTTAAAGAACATTAGAAAGCTGACTGGGTGTGAGTCTTATAAACTCAGGTTTAAAGCAGTGAGGAGATCATAGAAAAAATAATTCTTCTTTACTGCCTTGAGTTCTAAAACTTGAATGGACAAGCCATGGGGCTTAGGGTGGTTTCATATATCATGGAAGGCAACATATAATGATCAAAAAACTTACTGGTTATGGACTTTATGACTCTGACAATATCAAATGCCATATGCAGTCATAGTGATGCAGGAGTAGAAGTAAGCTCAGGAATAGAGGAAATAACAATTAAATGAAAAATCCTGTTTCTTTACCAACCATTGCCTATTAGTGTTAACTATACACATAAAAATGATTTGCATGCTTTTAAAATGTCTTCTTTTTTAAACATATGCAATATGTGTGTATGGCATATATGGGCATCATAAATGTATATAAATAAATATATTTCTATTTATGTATGGGTAGATATATGTGTACATGTACAGATATGTGTGTATATGAGCAAGACATTTCTGACATAACATACAAGCAAGCAGGTTTGTCCACACTGACAGTGTTTCTTGCTGGGGACTGAGATGGGACACCAGCACAGAGGACTCCTTCACACTCATGGGATACTTCCCATGGAGTTAGAACTTTTATAAAATGCATGTGCTGCTTTCATAACTAAACTGTGTGTTCATATAATTGGCCTGTGGTAAAATGAAATTGCTATGCCTTATTTTCTCAGATTTGAATATCCTAAGGAGTCTAGCAAATACATTTCAGAGATCCATTATGCAAAAGAGTCTCAACTAGGTTCCCGTGGAAAGGACTGACCTGTTGAGCATCTCAGAACCCAGACCAATGTGCCTGGGCACCTTCTGGGCACAGGGGCCTTCTACCGTGTCTTACTAATTTCACTGTAGCTGAATTCTGCTTCAGAACTCCCACTGGGTTTCAATCATCACTTCTATGGTGGTAGCCGGAAATCTCAAGGCAAGATTCCAAGTCATGCTGTTTATCCTTCTAGGGTAACTAATTCTCTCTTGTCTCCCTTGTGTTGGCGAATGTGGTAGTGTCAAGGATTGGGCTAACGTTTCATGGTCTATATAATACAAGGTCACAAAAAATGATTACCTTTACAGCTATCTAACGCTTTCTCTTAATAACACTTCATTTTTCATGTTCCGAGCAGTCTACTTTAAAGAGAAATTCCAGGGAAGACACAGGAGACTGAACACCAGACAGTTAGCTAGGCTGGCTGCTCCTTGTGGAGTATCCCTAGCAGGGTGTATAGAAATTATTTTTTACAGGTACAGATTTTTATGTCTGATAAAGTTTGTGGGGACTAGGACTGTACCATTTTCTTTCATACCACCTGTTGGCTCACTACATATGACACTATATGCCTAAGCAGAGACAGATACTCCTGGACCACACATGGCTTTAGCCCTTCCTAATGCTCAGAACTATCACACATAACAAACAACTAAAACAAAACAAAACATCCTACAGGAGGTAGACTCAAAGTTGTTAAAATCATGAAATCTGTGGCTTCTTTGCTCAGATTTTCTTGACATCCCAAGTTTTAGAGGTGCTATATTTTCCAGAGATGGATCATGTAGAGTATATTGCCCCTCAGCAATAATGTACGAACTAAATTATTTTTAGGGGTTTAAAAATAAGTTTCTACAGCACTGGGACCCTTACAGTAGCCAGTACTGCATCTACCTTCATTCTAGGGATTTATTTATCTTGATTGGAGTTATTGGAATTGGCCCACAACCACCTCTATCCTAAATTTTCTCTGGGCGGTTTTGAAACCTTCTCAGAGAAATATGATATGGTGGTTGATGAAAATATAGTCCTGCATCTCAGCAGTGGCCAGCTGGATAACCAACTGCTTGGCCAAATGCTTGGCTCAATCTAGGGGTGGAAGGGTCTATTCAAAGCCAGGTTCCAGTCCATTCTAAGATTATGTTTGTCATCACAATATTTCCTTGTCAGCCTCAACAACTGAGAGACTCCTAACAGAAACCCAGTGACTTCAACTCCTGGAATGATCTAGTCCAGAGAGAGTTCTAGTCCTGAGATAGATGCCTGGAAACACATTATTCTTAGCCAACCCATTTCCCCACAGCTAGATATGATGCCAAGTTTGATCTTAAAATGACTATGGGGAGTCTCTAGTAATAAAATCCCTACCCACTCAAAGCCTCTCTTACACTTAATATGGCACATCATATCCCCCCTTTCAAAATGATGATATGTGATTCTGATAAGTAAACTGTCCCCATTGGACTGTGAGGTTAAAGATCACATGCAGAAATACAGAGGAAGGATTTTGCTATGTTTAAGAGAAAGATGGAAGAAAGCAGAAAGAAAAGATTATATACCCAACTTGTAATTGTGATCGACACCCTAAGTCGAGAAGATTTTGGATAGAAAGCAGGATATTTTCTCCTCATTATTACCAGGTTCCACTTGTTCCATGGTATGAACAGAAGTAACAATTTTAGAAACCATTTCTGCCACAATAGCTTATATTAAGAAATTTGTGAAAAGAAAGTAGGAAAAGGAGCAAAATAGACTGCCCTAATACATGGAAAATGGTGTCATCAGTCATGATCTCAGAACTTAAAATGTCATAGGTGAAGCACAGACCAGGAAGGGCCAGGCATCCTGAGAGTCTGATCATGTAACTGGTGAAATGAAGTTTTGTCCTTGTGTCAGCTATCCTTGATGTTATGAAAACTGAACTTTAGAAAAAACGCACACAAACCCCCTTTCACCACTGTATCCATGAGCCTATAGTTAATAGCCTCAGCCCAAAATGCCAAAAGCTGTTCTCCTGTACTATTGTAACATACATGGCTACTTTCATTTTTGCTATTTTTTCAAGTCAATTAGACTGCTTTCTATCATCATTTTACAAAGATGAGGATTAAACGTTTGAGTGCTCCATTTCCTATAACCACTGTCCAAGACAGGTTCAACCCTGTCACTGAAACAGTACTTAGACTCACACGACTCTGTAAACTAGATATGGGGTTTCATTGACTCCCTGGCTCTTCTCTACTGCAGCAGAAGGCAAAGATGGCTGCACATAGGCAGTGCCGAGCTGTACAAACAGCCCAAGCTGAACCAGTCCTTCCTATCAGCAACAGCCCAGCTGCCTGGGCTGACTCTAGGTTACATCTGTGAAGTACCTCAAGCACAGATAGCTCCCATACTACCTCATGGTACCCCAGAGACAGAGCACATAAGTGAACAGTAGCCCTGTGGCACTTCCCTGCTCCTATGTGATGAAACCAGGTGGGGGGTGGGGCACATGCAAAGCCACTAGCTAGTCTTGGTGTATTTAGTCTGCAAATGGAAGTGGTTTTATAGATATATTTCTGTAAGACATCCGGGAGGGTTTCAAAGACCTTTAGACAATGTTGTGGTTGGAAGACTGAAAATAAAGAGACGAAAGCATATTTTCTAAATCGATGGGTGATTACAGTAGAATTATGAGGTACAGGGGAAGGATGAATGCCTAGAGGAAGGAGGGAGCAGTGTCATTGATGTGAAAATCCTCAGAATCTTTAAAATAAATTAGATGGGTGAACACAGAAGTTCATGCTACTTGCTGGAAGCAATAAGGATCAAATTTTGTGGAACGCGTACTCCACAAATCTCCAGTAGCCTGCCTCCTTCTCAATGGGCTATCATGTCCTGTCGTACATCCCTGTAGCCCTTAAAACCTGGTAGCATATTCTCAGATAGATCCTTGCAGGAGAGAGGCAGATATGGATTCCATTAACTTCTTCCAGGGGAGCTGCCCAGTGGCTGGGAGGGCGTAGGTGATACGCTTGCTCAAGCTCTTCTTGCCTGTCTACCAGGGTCAAACGGCCGTCTCCAAGTCCTCATGGCCAATGATCTTATAGTTCTGTCGGCTTTCTAGGTAAGCAGCCAAATCCGGGTCTCCAGCCTGCTGTGCTCGTTCTTGGGGTGTCTTTCCCTATAGACAGCAGAAGAAGAAGAACAAATAGCTGGATTGAGGTGATGTCCATATATGATGGACACGGATTAGACAAAGATGAGTCATCATAAAGAGTCCTTCCCATGTTTGATGCTTCAGAGTGTATGAGATGTTTTCTAATCTATTTACATCTAGAATCAGAATCATATCAGTGTGTGGTGTTCTAAGTTAAAGGGTTAACAGGAAAGGCTGTGTCTCACTAAACAAGAAGTTATGGAGACTCTCTGAAACTGTGGGGAGAAACTGTGTGTAGTGCATTTGATGGCCAAGCACTTTTCAGAAGGAGACAGAGAAAACAACTGAGTAAAATCAGGGAAGCGTAGAGTCATGTTTCTAGTTCAGGACTCCTCTTCGCTGAACACTGGGAACTGAGCAGCAGAAGCCAAGAGGAGGAGTGACAACTCAGAGATCATCTAGAAGGCTCTTCCTCTGCTGCTTTCAACACCCACCTTCCTAACAGTTCACTGACTTAGTTTGCACCCAATACTGAATCATCACTAGCTTAAGAGTCTTATAACAGGTCTTACACAACTGTAGCAGACTCTTACCTTTACTTTGATAATGATAAGGCAGACATCCTCACCTTCCAAATATTCAGGAAAGTGGGGTGAAGTGAACCTCTGAGCGGACTTGTAGTAAACCCTTCTCTAAGAATAAATATTCTCCTAGGATACTGCCTCTATCCTAAGGGTTCCAGAAGAAGTTCCGTTCACGAGTATATTCAACTTTTATGTAGCACTGGATTACAGAACGATAAGATTACAGGATTCTGACAAAGGAGTGGAGCACAGCTACACTACTATGTGGTAAGATCTATAGAACGTACTTCTGAATGCAAAGTTACAATGTTCGATAACATGTACAATATGACTCCAACTGGTTTTAAAAACTCAGAGTCCAACAAACATACGTGCACATACGTAGAGACTTGGTTTAATCATGTTTAGCTCTAAGTGAGAGGATTTCAAGTGGCTTTTGCTTTTCTTTATGTGCTTTTCTGTGTGTCTAGTTTTCTATATGGTCATAAAAATTAATCGGCTGTTTATATTTTGAAAAATGAATGCAGTTTTATAATTCAAAATTGGAAGAAGTCTCAAATACCTTGAGTCTATTTATATAAGAAGCTTAGAAAATAAAAGGCAACTGTCCCCAGGCTGAACCTCATGAGTTCCAGGCTGTCCCTCTTGTTCTTATGTCTCTTCCCTGTGGTTTTAGTTTCTGAACTGTGTACAGGCCCAGCCATGGTGTGATGAGCGCAGCAACCCTACTGTGGTCTGAATTGCTTTGGCCAAGCCACTCCTCCCCAGTTGTGGCCTATACTAACCCTGCCTACAAGGTACGTGTTTCTGGATTCAGTTAAACATTGAAACATTTCAGTGTAATGTCATCTGGGAAGGATCACACTTAAGCATTCATCTGTCATTTGAAATGTCTGGCTAAACAGGTAACAGATTGTCTATACACCAAGATATAGGCAAGGTGTTTTTGGTGAGCCTAGGGGGAAGCTGAGGCAGCCAGGCAGGGAACAAGGATTCCAATGTGTTGGCAGAGGAGAGGAGAATTCCACGTAATATAACTGGCTCAGAAGTTAGAGAGGGCGACTCAAAAGGCAACTAATGTCACAAGGTTTGCTGTTCAAGAAAAGCCCAGGCCCACACTGGTCATGTGTAGATTCTCATCATTTAACCAAATCTAATGGAGTTTATAACAATGACCAGGCTCCTAAGGTCTATGTATACATACCATGGCTAGAGTTACTGGCTCAAAACCCGGTCCTGTTTAATGAAAGCCTCACCCATACCTTGAAAGTCTTCTTTGCAACTATAGAGACCTAGCTAGTGATGGGACTTGCTGTCTACTCAAAGTCTTTCAAAACCCTGCTTGCTTTCCAGAACAGATGATAGACCCCTACCATTGATTCATCCTCCACCCTTTGTGTGTGTGTGTGTGTGTGTGTGTGTCCGTCTCTGGACCTGTCCCTGTCCTTGCTCAACTCCACTGAATTATAAGAGTCCCATACTCCAGATATCAACCATGTCTCTTGGAGATTCTCTGTCAGTTGATTCTACTAAGGGAAGCAACAGATCCGGATGACCTAGATTTTGCCTGCTGCCTTATCTGTACTCATGGGCACTTTCTGGTCAAGGTGGCTTACACATTCCACCAACAGTCTCTGGCCTCAAGACCAACTTAATATGCTCACATACTCTGCAGATTTAAAACATCACCTAAGAAAGTAACCCCATTTCAAGCCTCTTTGACATAAGTGACGTTGTGAGGCAGGAATCCAGGATATGAAAGTGATATATGGCAGTGAACTCAGTTACTCTTTGTCCCTCTTTATCCTACTGAGCCAGTGGGATATTCTGTCACCAAATAAGGAGGGCTAATCTGCTCAAACGTATTAGGCTACAAGTCAGCAGAGCCAGTAGTGTAGCAGCTAACTAGTCTTCCTCTGACTTCCTGATCCCATTCCTGTCAATAATACTTCTATGATTGACAGTTACGGAATAATGTAAGAAAACACACGTAGGAAGACTCTTTGAAAATGTAATGGCAACTGGGACTGGAAAGAAGGCTCAGGAATCTTGAGCTCTTGCAGAAGCCCCAGGATTGATTCCCAGCACCCATAGGGTGGATCACAACCATTTATAACTCCAGTTCCCCAGAATATGATGTCTCTTTTGACCTCCACACATGTGATACATATCCATATACTCTTTCACACACACACACACATGCATCTAAAATTAAATAAATAAACTTTGGGGGAGAATACCGAGTGATGTGGATATATCAGGTTTAGAACTGTTAGCAGCATCTCAAGGTGAGATCCAACTATCTGAGGATTTTGCGGGTAGGGCAATCACTTGGTTAGCCATACCTGGAGCAGCGCAAGGCACAGCTTTTTTAATTACATTAGATTTGGTGCTGAAGATGGTCATAAATTATATTAGCTTTTAAATTACATTAATTTGGGGCTAAGGAGACTTCTTGGTAACATTCATTCCACCTCATCCTCATTCTCTGACTATGGATCTCACTTCCTACCCCCTGCCTGCTGGTGTTTCGGTAGAACACCTCTAGTCCCATGTCCCTCTTTAGCATGTAAGGTTTATAAAGTACCACAGGCAAACACACACCCTCCTTTTGTGCTTCTACCTTTAAACTGCAGTTTCTCTAAATGAAGCACTCTATTTTTTCCTCCTTTTTTCCCCCAAAGCTCCAGGCCCTTCCATGAGCACAGAAAGGATGCCTGTGCTGTGGGCACAAGTGGAGGCCATGGTGCCTGCAATCTCTCACAGTGGGAGGATGTTTGCACTCACTCATCCTGTTACCTTGGAGTCTGTCTGTCTCAGAGATGCTCCTGCGTCCACCAGAAGCTGGCATACAGCCCGGTTCCTTTGGCAGGCAGCCTTGTGCAGTGCAGTCTCGCCCCTAAATCAAAGATTAAGAAACCAGGCAAGGGTTGGAGACAGATGAAGTGACAGAGAGAGCAAAAGGGTGAGGGGCTTACCCTGCCCTGTTGCTGATGTTGTGTGCTCTTTAGCCTCCTCCCTTGTGAATAGCTGACCCAGGCCAGCAGAATATATACATGCTCTTGAGGTGCCCTAGGGATGTCTGCAAATTCCTTAAGTCACCCATTCACAGAATTAACATCTAAGTTCAGCTACTTGTCTGAACTGGACGTGGTTTGGGAGCACTGCTATTAGCTTTGGGATACATATCAATGATACTTAGTAAACAAATTGTGCGGATATGTCCAAACACTTGAGGAAGAGCGTGACAGGGTCTCTATGGAGCTCACACACTCCTGCCCTTCACACATGCTAGAAACCATTATGACTTTCATGAATATGTCCTGAGAACTCAGCTTAAACAGCCAGACTGACTTCTTCTCTTCCTATTCTGCCAATATTGGATTACACCTATTAAATGATAAAGGGATATCTGAGAGGCTCTGGAAGACTCCAGCAGAACTCACAGGCTCAAACTCTCCTAAGAATGCAACAGGCCCGAGACCAGTGTGTGTGGGAAGTGGCAAGAGAAAAAGGCAGATGCCCATCTGGCTCACAAGTGGGCTAAGGAAGAAGATATTGCCACTCTGAGCTCCAAGGTATGAAGATGCTTAATGCCAATATGCTTCATGAGAAATCAAATGTCGGCCACAGAGAAGCCACAGCAGGATGAATGGTGTCCCCGCTTATGGCCATGCCAGCATACCCTCTCTGTGGATCAGTGGCTAGCTCTTCCGTGTGCTGTATTCCTTCTCACTTGTCCTCTCTTCTCTCCATTCCCATTGGTAATCAGCTCCCTGGTTACCAGGTTACTTCTCTCTAAACCCACTCATCTTTATCCCTTTTATGAAACTCTCCGGTAGTTCCCACTCTGGCTTTCAGAGTTAACTGTTCATCTTTTTCTTATTCCTGTTAGTGAAAGAGTAGGTATTTGGATGTCATAAGAATAAGAAAGAAAGAGGAAAACAAACGTTTCCAGTTTAGGAACCATCCTAGAACTGATAACTGTTTGAATAACTGTGCTCCCAGCTCTCCAGGGGTGGTATATGATTTGTTCTATCGCAGACGGACAAACAGAAGTTGTGCCATTACATGCAGCACAAGTCTTACGGCATCGGGGCTTCATTTTCTCACAAATCCCACGCAAGAGAAATACCGCATATGGTAGAGAGAAAGATGCACGCACTTATTTATGGTTATTATTCTTTTACTGGTGTAAAAGAATCTTGTTGGTAGGATGCTCTGGGTAATGACAGGGATAGCACTGACCATGTATATATCATCACAATAGAAATTATTAGGCTTTGTTGTGCAGCAGATTACCTCTGTACAACTAAACAGTTTAAAGTGGGATTTTAATCAGTGAAATTAAAACTATCTGCTATGCCTCATGGATTAGATTTGCTTTGAATACAACTGTTTAGACCATATAAGGAAAGGCAACACTCACGTTTCACTGTCTGCCATATCCAGTAATTCTGCAGGTCCTAAACAATAATAATAAAAAAAAAAAGAAGTGAGATGTCAAAAATATAACCTAAAACTAACTGTTGGCAGAAAATCTGCATGTGAATAATTTACATGATGAGGAAAGGTGAACTGAAAAAAATACATCTGGTGCCAAGATTAATCATAAGACAAATCGAGAGTAAGATTACCACCAGTTTCCCAAACACACCAGTCAGTATGCACAAAATTGGAGAGCGTAAGGATGTTGCTGCCTTGCTGAGCAAGGCATGAGGACTGGAGAGATGGCTCAGTGGGTAAGAAAATCTGCTATGAAAACAGGAGGTTCTGAGTTCAAATCTCCAGCCCAAAAGTTTAAGAAAATGTTTACAGAGCTGGGCATGGCCCTGTGTGCTTGTAACAGTAGAGAGAGCAAGGTAGATCCCAGAACCTTGGTGGTCAGACAGCCTAGTCAAGTTTAGCGGGAGACCCTGTCTCAAGGAAGTGATACAGAGAGTTGTACTGGAAGACACCTGAAATCCATCCCTGATGTCCTCACAAGCAGATGCACCCACCTGTGTATGTGTAGATCCGCCATGCACATGACACACAGACACAACACAGGCACACTGACACACATAGGCACACAGTCATACACACACAGTGAAATTGAAGAAATGAAATTAATTGGAAAAGAATAACTGAAACTTCATAGTCTTGGTAGATGGAAAGGCAACCAAGTGGGCTCTGGGATCTTTTTCACTCTTCAGCTAATGAAAAGGGCTTCCATTAGTGTAATGAGAAAAGTGAAGACACACACACACACACAGACAACGCACGCACATACACACACGCACACACACATATGCACATACACACATACACACACACGCATGCACGCACACACACACATACGCACATACACACATACACATGCATGCACGCACACACACACGCACACACACATATGCACATACACACACATACATACACACACACACACACACATCGTCTCATCATTATATTTTGGAAATAGGATAACTCTGTTTTGAACATTTCCATTTTCAAAATGGGATAACTGTCATGCATACATGTCAGATGATTACAGATGTATCGTTGCACGACATGTCCTCTAAATGTGAGACTGGAAATTTATAATGCGCTGGCCTTTCCTTTGTCAGTGTCTGGTTAGCAACTAGTTCCCTTCATTGGCAAACATAGTTTGGGGTCTTTGTCATTCTACTGACTGACTACTTTTTCCTTCTTTGAAATCCCTCACCCTGTTTACTCTGAAGGTATCAGTTAGACACATATCTTCCACAGAAGCCCTGCTGAGCTGACACCATTCTCTACCTATACGGCACCTACAATTTATGTATAGGTTCTACTTGTCACACATACTTTTAAGTAAGATATGGAATCAGCTATATCGAAACCATCCAAGGCATGTTGAGATTGATGACATTATTTGACATGACGTTTGTCAGACTGTTTTAAAACCACCAGCTTAGTTGTTTCTCTGTACATCAAGATTCTAATAAACCTCTTAGAGTTTTATCTTATGCTTTTTTGTTGTTTTGGTTCTCAGAACTGTGTCCTCCCTTCGTACTGAATATTGAATCTGGTTCTAAGAAAGTACTTAACTGTTTGAATTGATGAATACATTTGCTTGGGAGTTCCAAATATGGTCCTAGTACCAAACACATGATCATTAGAGACATGATTCTATGGTTTGTGACCCATGTTGGTAGAGAGCATTATCACTGAAAATTATTATGTATCATGTAAAAAGAAATGAAGGAGAGGTTATAAGGTTCTACCCATGACTGCTACTGGCAGAGAAGTAGCTGAGAGAGTCAAGAAACCTTGTAACTCTCCTGATCATCCAAGAGCTAAGTCACCCTTAATTTTCCTATGGAATGCAGCTAGCATGCAGAAACCATTGCTAAAGAGTCTATTAAAGCCACATATCATCAGTAAGCTTCCATCTGTCCCATCTGTTAATTACTCTCAAGTGTTCAGATGATGTTCATGGCCTTTCTCATGGAACTCCCCCTCCTTAGTGTGTGGATGAGGTTCCACCTTTTCACCTAAACTAAACTAGCAATGGCCTACCTGTGTATTTCTCAGGCCTTCCCCCAATTCTAAGCCGGTTTCCTAATCTTCCCATCCATGATAACCTTCTCTCTCCTAACCCTGTACCTAAAACTAAAATGCCCCTCAAAGCCCAACTGTGGCAAGGTCTTCCACAAATGTTCAAAGAGACATTTAACAAATGAATTCTAAGCCTTCTCGGAGTCCTATGCTGCATAGAGGTTCTATCTTACTGTATGTATTCTTTTTAATGTATGCCTCACTTTCTTAAGTGAATTATTCTAAATATCTGAAAGATAAGAATCACTTTATTGTTCTCATGTGCCTCTAAATTATATAAGTATTATATCAATAATTCTATGGATCCTTTAATGGTAACATTTACCTTTCACCTTGAGTTTTCGTGAGTAAATAACAATCTAAAGTATTGAGTAGAAGTGTCTGGCATCCCTTAAACTCTTCATAAAATTTAGCATGGCCACTGTAGTGCTTTGGGGCACACCACAGCTGACCACATTAAGTCAAAACACTGCAACATCCGCGAAGGAAGGTGACATGAAAGGGCCACTTCATTCTCACTTCAGCAGAAGCCACTTGTTGACTCAGTTTCTGGAGATCCATGCACTCAAGGCTTGTTCAATTTCTGATAGGAGAGTCACAACAAGATCAGGAGAAGAGAAACATGGGCCCTCAAGTTCCATCTAAAGAGCTCCTGCTACCTTCAGAGAGCACTTTAAGCCATTTATTTAGAGAGGAATTCCAGGAACACAGCATCACGGCTTTAGCTGGCAGCTGAATTGCCACTTAATCACTACTGCCCTCTGCACAGTGACTAAGGCAACAAAGACCTTGCAGCACTTTTTCCTTTATTCTTCTCTGAGTGGAAGCCACAGTGAGTCCCAAGACTTGCTGGGCCTATGCTTCTGTACTGGTAAGGGGTCCCAGAACATTTTAACTGGCCTAAAACAGCAATAGTTTAACAATCTAAAGATGAAGATGAGGGGAAAAAAGAACCTCGTTCCTCATAGGAGCCGACCAGAATCACCACAACTGTAGTTCTGAATGATCCCACAATGATTATCCAGCCTGATTTGGGCACTGCTGTGGCTAGCCAAGGTTCCTCTCCTCTTCCTTTAATTCCCTGTAGCTGGCAGAGGTAAGAGTAAAGGTCACCAATGCTGGAAGCTGGCACTGTGTTCTTATATCCAAAAGGACTCCACTTCAGTGTTCAGGGAATGCCTCTGAAATGATCGGTTCAACTAACCTGACGTCCCTGATTCTCCGTCACATAAGTCACAGGATGATTAAAGAACATTTAAAACACTGACAAGCAAATCGCCAATGCAAGTAAGGGAATGGCAGCAGGCAGGTCACTCCAGGTGGGAGGAGAGGGCTGTGTTTAAGAGTGCCGGAGGCGCTGCGTCTGGATCCTGTTCCCCTACCCAGGCCGCCTTCTCTGGCCTCAGTGGGAGAGGATACTCCTAGGTGACCTGATACACCAGGGTGAGATGATACCCAGGCAGACTTCCCCCTTCTCAGAGGAAAAGGGCAGGGAGGATGGAGGACTGAACAGGGACCGGAAGAGGGTGCTGTGACCTGGATGTAAAGTAAGAAAGTAAGTAAGTAAATAGATGGGTGGATAAATGGGATGGAAGGATGGATAGATAGATGACAGACAGACAGACAGGAAAAAAGAGTGCTGGCACACTTACAAGCCCGTCCTTGAAGCAGTGGTTCTCAATCTGTGGGTCTCGACCCCGTTGGGGGGGTCACATGTCAGATGTCCTGCATATCGGATATTTACATTACAGTTCCTAACAGTAGCAAGGTTACAGTTATGAAACAGCAATGTGGGGTCATCACAATCCGAGGAAGTGTGTCCAAGGATCTCAGCATTAGGAAGGTTGGAAGGGTTGAGAACCACTGCCGGCTTAAAGGATTATCTTTGCATGGCAACAACCACAGAGGAGTCCATGGCAAAAACATCTGAATACAGGCCCTCATTCCCTCCTGGTTTGTACCACACCACCTATCTGTGGAGAGCTATGCTTTAACACTGTGCCGACCTATTTAGTAGTGTTCATGTGCAGCTTGAAGAACGGGTGACCAGAAAAGATAAAAATAATCAATGAAACCCAAACCGACTTTCTTTTGAAAGATAAAATGCATTTTAAAAAATAGCACCTATTTTTGTTGTTGTTGTTAATCTGAGTCTCAGAGAAAAAATGATGAAAGCAATAGAATTTTATTTTTCCAATGTGTATCAATGATTGAGAGCTGAACTTGGGATTATATATATATATATATATATATATATATATATATATATATATACACACACACACACACACACACACACACACATACATATGCAAATATCACCATTATGGATGTCCTATGAGCTTTCCCCCGGGGAATCTGAAATAAGAACATTAAACTATCTGCAGATAATTCACAGTTTTCCACCTATACAAAGGCATCTACAGTGGTAGAAATGATAATGTGCCCCCAGTCTCAGGCACTGTCATACTTGGTCACCAGCTGGTAATGTTATTTGGGGAGGTTTAGGTGTTATATATTTGCTGGAGAAAGTGCATCACTGAGGGGAGACTTGGAGGTTCACAAAGCCTCTGCCTCTTCCAGTTTGTTCTCTCTGCTTCATGCTTGTAGCTGAGGATATGCACCAGCTGCCATGCCTGCTCATGTGACTGCGTTTCACTTCTGTGACGGACTCTAACCTAGAATTGTAAGGCCAATAACCGGTTCTTCTACAATTTGCTTGGTCGTGGTTTTCATCACAGCGACAGAAAAGAAACTGACAGAGAATCCTTGCAGCTCTGTCCCTCCTAGTTGGCTTTTGTTTTGTTTTGTTTTGTTTGTTGTTTTCTTTTCTTTTTAATATCACAGCTATCTTGTACCAGAAGATAAGTGTGAAATCTTTATTGAA